AAAGCCTCATCTTTCTCCCGCGGAGCGGCTGGTAGTTTCGAACTGCTGACCTTAAGGTTCGCAGCCCAATTCGTAACCACTACACTACCAGAGCTGGTATGGCACTGTAGGATCAGCATTGGGTTACAAACTACAAGGTCAGCAGTTCAAACCTAACAGCTGTTCCTCGAAAAGCCTATACAGGGTTGCTATGAGTCGGAAGCGACTTAATGGCACTTAACAATAATACGTATATATACATACAAGGATGAGTCAAAAATGTTATGAACTTTGGTTGTAGAATTTATTTTAATCAACTTTGAAAAAAGACAAATACATCATTTTTCAACATAATCTCCTTGTTTTACAATACCCTTTGTCCATTTGTCAACAAGCTTTCGTATTGCCTTATTAAAAAATGTTTTAGGCTGACCTACAAGCCACGAATGGACCACTGTCTTCACTGCTTCATCACAGGTGAATCTTTGTCCTGGTAAGGACTTCTTTCAAGGGATCAAACAAGGCAAAGTCTGATGGAGCAAGATCAAGACTATAGGGAGGATGCTCTGTTGTTGTTTAAGTGCCATTGAGTCAGTAGCAACTCATACAACAGAACAATCCTGGGCCAACGTCACTATTGTTGGCCACAGTTGAGCCCATTGATGCTGCCACTTTGCCAATCCATCTCGCTGGGGGTCTTCCTCCCTTTCTCTGACCCTCCATCTTACCAAACATGATATCCTTCTCCAGCGACTGGTCCCTCCTGACAATATGTGCAAAGTATGAGAGACAAAGTTTGGCAATCCTGGCCTCCAAGGAGTACTCTGGCTACACTTCTTCCAGCACAGATCTATTTTTTCTTTTGGCAGCCCATGGCACTTTCAGTATTCTCCAACACAATAACTCAAAAGCATCAATACTAATACGGTCTTCCTTATTCACTGTCCAGCTTTCGCTTGCATATGAGGTTATTAAAATACCATAGCTTGGGTCAGGCGCACCTTAGTCCTCAAGCTGACATGTTTGCTCTACAACATTTTAAAAAGGTCTTGTACAGCAGATGTAACTAATGCAATACGTCGTCTGATTTCTAGACTGCTGCTTCTGAGTGTTGATAGGTGATCCAAGAAGAATGAAGTACTTAACAACGTTAGTCTTTTCGCCATTGATATTTAGTCCTGTGATGAGGATTTTTGTTTTCTTTACATTTTGAGATGCAATCCATACAGAAGGCTGTGTTCTTTCATCTTCATCAGTAAATACTTTAAGTCCTCTTTACTTTCAGCAAGCAAGGTTGTATCATCTGCATATCGCAGGTTGTTAATGAGTCTTCCTCCAATTCTGATGCCACATTTTTCTTCATATAACCCAGCTTCTCGGATTATTTGTTCAACATAAAGGTTGAATAAGTATGGTGAAAGAATACAACCCTGTCACACACCTTTCTTAATTTTAAACCATCCAGTGTTCGCATGTTCTGTTCAAACAACTCCCTCTTGGTCCAGGTACAGATTCCTCATGATTAAGTGTTCTGGAATACTCATACTTCACAATGTTGTCCATAGATTGTCATGATCCACACAATCAAATGCCTTTGTGTAATCAATTAAGCACAGGTAAACATCTTTCTGGTATTTTCTGCTTTCAGCCAAGTTCCATCGGACATCAGCAGTGCTGTCCTTCGTTCCAGGTCCTATTCTGAATCCGGCTTGAACCTCTGGAAGTTCTCTGTCAATGTATACTTGCAGCCATTTCTGTATTACCGTTAGTAAGACTAAAGCATGGGATATCAAAGAGATTTTCCGATGATTTCCACGTTCCCTTGGGTCACCTCTCTTTGGAATAGGCACAATTATGGATCTCTTCCAATTAGTCGGCCAGATCGTTGTCTTCCAAATTTTTTGGCAGAGGTGAGTGTCTCCTGTGTCGCCTCACGTTCTTGACAGATTTCAATTTTTATTCCATCAATTCCTGGTGCCTTGTTCTTTGCCAATTCCTTCAATGCACCCGGAACT